TCTTGCGATAGGTTTACGGATATATACGTTATGACAACATTTCTTGAAATGATAAGTGCTATGCTTTTACACTTTTGTTTGCTTATGAATTTTTTAAATGAAGCTTTATTTACAACATGTTATATATCTAGCAGAACATTGCATAAAAGCTTTGTTAAATCACTTTATGAATAAGTTAAAGGTAGAAAACATAACTTAGACTACTGTAAAGTCATTGGGTGCATTGCATATGTACTATATACTACCAATTAAAGACTAAAGATTGATAGTAAAGCCATAAAATCAATTTTCTTGGTTATGCATTAAATAGTAAGACATGTAGATTCCTTAATTTAAATACTAATAGTGTGGTTGAATATGCACATGCCATATATTTAAAGCATTTGGTGACTAGAAATGCTAGTGATTTAGAATAAGAAAAAGAATTGTCAAATGAATTGATAGAGTATGAAAATGTTGCTTATGATTTTGATACAACTTTGAATGAAAATCATAATAATACATCTCATGGTAATGAACCTCATTATGTTGAATTGAAAAAAAACACAAGAAAGAGATTGGAAAAGAATTTAGGATTGGATATGTATACATACATGCTAGAGAAGGATCCTAAATCTTTTTAAGAGGCAATGAACATGCATGATTCCATGTTATAAAAGAAAGCTATGAATGATGAGATTAAATCCATAGTTAAGAATAATTCTTGGTCTTTAATGGATCTACCTCATAATACTAATTTTGTTAGCTTTAAATGGGTTTTGAAAAAGAAACTCAAAATTGATGGAAATGTTAAAAAAAACTAAGCAATATTGGTAGCCAAAGGTTATAATCTAAATGAAAGGTTAGATTATTTTGAAACTTTTTCTTCGATCACCAAGTTCAATTCTATATGAGTAATGTTTGCAATTGCTTCAATTTACAACTTTGAAGTACATTAAATGGATGTAAAAACAATCTTACTCAATGATAATCTAGAGGAGATATACATATACCAACCAGAAGAATATGTGGTTCATAGGCAAGTTAACAAGGTATGCAAGCTCAACATGTCTTTCAATGACCTAAAACAAGAATCTAGGCAATGATATAAGAAATTTTAAAAAGAGATTAAAAAGTTTGGCTTTAAGAGTAATAAATTTGAAAGTTATGTCTTTACTAAAATCACATATGAATTCTAGGTAGTTATTTCTCTTTATATAAATAGTTTATTAATATTTGGCACTAACTTTAACTTTATAAATAAGACTCAGTCTTATTTAATTCAAACTTTTGATATAAAGGATTTAGTCTAGTATATGTAATCTTAGGTATTGAGTTTTATAAAAATAATGACAAGTTTATTCTTTCTCAAGCATATTATATTAAAAATTTACTTAGAAAGCTTGATCATTATGATAATAAACCTAGTAAAACACCATGGTTCCTTATCACAAGTTAGAGTCTAATCAAAGAGACCCGGTTAATCAAAAAGAGTATGCAAAGATTATTGGTAGTTTAGTTTATGATATGAACTATACAAGAATAAACATTGCATTTGCTAATGGTATTTTGAGTAAATTTACTAGTAATCCCAGTGATGCTCATTAGCATGAGTTAAAAAGCTTATTACAATATTTATAGTATACATTACACTATAGTTTGCATTACAATTGTGAAACCCATGTTTTGGAGTGTTATAATGATGCAATTAGGCTTTGAACAAAAGAAGTTCCAAGTCCATAAGTGGTTGGCTATTCACTAATGGTACGACAATCATTTCTTGGTCATCTAAGAAACAAATTTGTGTGGCACTATCATTTACGGAATCTAAATTTAATGCTATGTCACATGCCACAAAGATTTACGCTAGTTTAAAAGGTTTTTAAGAAGCATACCTTTTATAAAGAACCAAATAACCAATCACTTTATATTATGATAGTAAGGCTACTATTTACAAAATAAATAATGAAAATTTTCTAATAATAGTAAGCACATTTCAATGAGATACAACAATGTGAGAAGTGTTGTAAAAAAAGAAAGATTAATAAAAAGTACCTTCCAACAAAACCAATGTTAACAGATCCCCTTACCAAACCCTTATTGAAAGATAAAATTGTTATCAGTAGAAGAGGTATGGGATTATTATCAATTACTAAGAGGTAATCTTGATTGATTCTTACTCTATTTTATTAACGTCACTTAAGAAATTGATTCTTTAAAATTAAATGATAGTTTCCTCATGGGAAAATCATTATGTATAAGAGTTAAGGGCTTTTAGTCATAAATTATCAAAGGAATTCATTTATGAGATATATGGAATTCTTAATGCATCATTCTTGGAATGGTGGAGGTAATTAAATTAAATATTATTCCATATAGTGTCCTATATCTAAATGCATTGCTAATATATAAACATTATGGTTGGACACAAATCTATAATAGACTTATAACTCCTTTAAGTATAATGTAAAGTAAAAAAAGAGGTTGTAAAACACTCTCCATAAATATTCATATGCAAGTAGAAAAGTAAAAGGCTATTTCTTATGGATTTTCAATTAATTCTAGAGCACTTGCTAATGTAGGATCTAACATAGGCCCATTACTAAATTTCACTACCCCTTGGAGGAACAAACAAACCAATGTAAGGTGTGAATATGCTTCCTTGTGTCTTATATTCAAATTAAAAGTTCAAGCTATGGCCACCTTTAAACACTTGCATAAGAACAAAATTGTATTTTTTAAAATATTGCATACATATGCATTCTTTGGTAATAAGTTAGGGACATAAAGCTCATTAAAATGAAAACATTGTTTTTGAATCATGTAGTCTGCATATGTGTTGAGAAATGATGTTTTGGAAGTATTAAATAAGTATTAAATGGAAAAACAATAAGATGAATTGATTGCTCCTAAATAGTAGTCAACTATCTTATGCCAAAATGAATTCTATTTAAAAGTAAAAAGTGGAAAGTTGGATGCCATAATAAGTTAGTCAAATGTGCAACATGGTTATATGCTCTATTTGATATTTTGGCTAAGGCAATTGAATACCCTTTAGGGGGCAATCAAATGCCCAAGTTGGGTTTTTACTTTATGTTTAAAAAATAATCAAGATAGTTGAATGCCTTTTTGTAAATTCAAAAATATATTTGTTAAACATGCTTTTTATACTAAAAGAGATTATTATTTATCGAAAAGGTGTCCATTGATAAAAGAGTGTTTCAAGCACCTATTGAGACTTATAAATATTCCCATTCATTCATTTACACATCTTTACATTTTTTCAAATAAAAATTCAAATTTCCTCTCCTTCACTTTTATTTTTAGTTTTGGTTTAATGTGTTCAAAAATAAGTTGAGGTGTAATCTTGTTCTTCTTCTTTTTTGCATTATATCTGAAGGATAACGTTTCTAGAGACTATTTACACCTTAATGAGGAAACTATTATCTTTAAGAAATCTTCCTATAATTGCCTTACCCAAGTTTCTTCTTCTTGTTCAACAAGTTTGGATTGATTACCACCCTTGCATATAACATTAGTTACTTTTTAAGAGAGATTAAATGCATTTTTCAAACTAATAGGGATAAGTTTATTTTTAATAAAATCTTATGGGAAATAATTCTATTTTATTTTTAATTATTTTCTTTAATCAATTTCTTTATCACTTAATTTTTTATGTGATGGTATTTAATTTATTTTAAATAAAAATAATCTAATAAATTTATTTCAAAGTTAATATATAATTGAATTAAAAATAAATATAAAATATTTAACATTTACTTGAGTTAGAATATAATTTAATTCAAATTTAATTTAATAGTAATTAAAGATTATTTTAAAACTAATTAAATTATCATTGTAGTTAAAAGAAATATGGAGTAAAACAAAGAATGAAAAGAAAAAACCATAAATAAAAAATAAATGATTAATAATTAATAACATCTTTAAGGTCAATGGTTTTTTTTTTATCAAATTTTATAAAAATAAGAAGCTGACCACCTGTAATTTTTTATACAATCTTACTACCAACCACCACTTAAAAATATTGGTTTTATATAAATTTTTTATAGATCTTACACAATACTGAATTATGATTAATTAATTACATTATAGTAATTATAGGTGGTATGGCCATATAAGAATAAGATGGTCATTTTCAAACTAAAAGGTAAATGTATTTTTTCTATTGAAACATTATATAAATATACTTTTCACTTTTTAAAGAGAGAATATAAAATAATTTTAAGACAATTTCATAAAATTATGTGATACAAGCATGTTGGCCTAAGCAATAATTGGTAAAAAGGATTTTCTATTTGCACTCAACATTTAAAATCCTAAAATCATTTTTTTTATTCATTATACCCATAACCCTATAGTATCATTTTCCCTATACACCCTTCTCATCATTCATCTCTTACACCCATTTCACCCTTAAATCAATTCACCCTAAATCTCCCAAATCCTAAATAAAAAAAAAATCAACAAAAAATCACTAAGTTTCAGAGTTAATTAAATCACCAACCTTCAATTTAGAGGTAATTTATCTTTAATTTTATTAGGTTGGTTAAGTTACCTTTGATTTTGTTAAATTTTGCTCAAACTATTGATTGTGAAATTGTAAGTTTTGGATTTATTTTTTTGAAAGTTTTTTAAAATATTCAAAAATATAAATTCGAAATCTTTAAAAATTTTGAACTAAATTAAAAGAAAACAAAATCAAAGGCAAATGACATTCATCAAATGCTCTAAATTTTTAATAAATGACATTCTTCTAACTTTTAAACTTTTCGAAAATATATATCTAAAAAATTTAAAAATATTTCAAAATTGTATATGCAAAATGTCTTTGAATCTTTCGAATATACATTTCTAGATATACCATAAATCAAGATTCTTTGAGATATAGAAAAGTAATTTCAATAAAAATAATTAAATAATTTTATTAATGAATTTTTTGTCATAAAAAAATTTTGTATGTAAAAAAGTGAAAGAAATGGTGCATTTTTAAAATTCCTTTTATTAAAAGAAAAAAAAGGGCAAATCGGAGCCCCGAGAGGGCAATGAAAAAGCCCAAAAGCAAAGAGGAAGTTAATGACGTGTCCGAGATCGTGATACGCCTTTCTCACTTTGTTCCGTTGTTCTCAGCGATCCGCTTCTCTTCGTTACTTTCTTTTCTCGTCTGCTCTGCCACTCACAATTCATAAAAAAAAAAATAATAATAAATAAACAAATTCCTCCAACCCTCTTTTTTCTAAGTCTCCACGCCCATTTCTTGCAAACAATTCTATTATCAGTTTGATGGATCTCAAATTGGTCAGTTCAATTTTTACTCTATTTCCCCCTTCTTTCTGGTATTGCTTTTAGTTCTTGCAAAAATATGTATTTTGTTTATTTTCAATTAATTTTTTTTTGCTATTGTATTCTATTTCATGTTTATCGTGATTTTGATTTCTTCCTTTTTTTTTTCTTGGAAAACCTAAACCATCCGAGAAAAATAGATTCTGCTTTCTTTTGTATTTAACTTTTGTTTTAGAAAATCAAGATGCAAGAAACAATTGATGTGGTTTACTAATACTTTTTGCTTTAATCGAACTACTTAGGTTTTCTCAGGCCAGTTTAGAATTTGTTCTATTTTGGGAAGGTTAATGTAGCAATAGTAATTATGAAATTATGATTCAATCCTTGAAATTTGAAATAAGCGGGGCTATGGTTTTTATACTTATTCGATCAGTGTTTTGGTTGGAAATGAGTTAAATTTATTTACTCTGACTTGAAGGTGTACCTGTTAGATGGGGTGGTCGTAAGTGTGGTTAGCAACGGGGGATGGTGGAATAATTGCCATGCAGATCTACTACCGTCGTTTTAATTGGCAGATCCAGTTATCACCAAATTGTATCTTTTATCGCAGTATCAACTAGTAAGTTACTTGCAAAAAGGCGTTATCAGCTTACTGATATAGAGGCTCTTGGTCGGTTCAGTTAAGTTTGGTATCGTCTTTACCAAACATGCCGTATTATATACAGAGGCTTTATAATACTTGCAGAACGTCATTCTCACCCAATGGCCCTGTTTCTGAAGAAGCTCTTGAAAGAGTTCGTGCTATGCTAGGTATTCGCTAATATCATCCTTTCACCGCCTCATGTTTATTCTTTGAATTATGGTTGATCCAAGTATGCTATGCTTTATTAGTTATTGCTATTGAGATAAAATCCTGTCGATGCAGTTCATAATTTTATGCTTTTCTTCTTAAGTGGTAGTCATTGAATACCATGAAAGCTAATTTTTCTAGCATTTAGGTGTGATTTCATTTTTCAATGAAAAAGAAACATGCTAATGAAATCTGAGATTAATTAATTTAAGTAAGCTGAATCTTTCTTTGGATGACATCATCTGTTGGAAGTTGCTTCATGCCTTCCCTAGTATATCCATTTCTTGGCAAGTCCATGATCTACGAATAAATAGTTCCTTGCTTTTTGGCTGACAGGGATGCCAAGTTTCCCTATGGCTTTGTGATTAAAACCAAAAATTAATGAGCTTCATTGTTGGCTGTGTTAAGTTTGTAATTTTATTTTAGTTCAAAATTTTCTCTTGCAGGAAGAGGCTCTGACATAATTTAATTGGTAAAAATTTCCTGATTTGACTCAATTTAACTACAAAAATCATAAACTTTTGTTGATGAAGTGAATTTGAGTAGAGTGAGAAATTTGTTATCCTTCCCACTAGTATCTACATTGGAACTTCATTATGCATTTAATGAAATAATGCTTCTTTTCTTTGCTGTTATGCTCTATTTCATTTTATTTCTATTATATCACTTCCAGTTGCCTTAGGCATACACCAATCTTCTAAATTATCACAATAGTCATCTTTAAAGCTCCCGTATCTTAAGTATGAAGAACTTGGTATATCACGAGTTCAAATTGCAAATTGTTTTGCTTTGATTGTCGAATACATCCTTAATTTTATTATGTGTTCAAATTTGCAATTAATGAACATAAAATTGTCGAATACATTAAGTAGGTTTTCACTACTTCAACATTTTCAACTCTTTTTCATGGAAAATCTTCCATCAAGGTAGTATTTGGTATCACTTTCCAGATCACCTTGGTGATCTAATCACTAGTAATTTTAGATTATTATGTTTAGAGTAATATCACTGTCACTAGTGATCTTAGGTCATTGTGTTTGGTGTTACATAGAAAAGAGAAAAAATATATCATTTAGCACAAAACACTCAAATAACACTATTTTTTATAATAAGATTAAAAAGAAATAAACAATTTCAATATTAATTGAATGAATTATTAATAATTTAACAATCCATTATTCTATAGGATTAGAAGACATGAACCAATTTTGATAAGTTTAATTCTCGAAAACAACCAATCAAAGTCATTGCCTTGTAAATGAACGTAGGAAAATTTATGGTAAAATAATTTAGGAGATCACTCCCCCTCAATGATAAAACATTTTGGATCGCCCCTCAAGTCAATGATCTAAGGCTATTGCCACATAAAATTCCTAATTTACTACTAAACATTGTGATCTAATCACACTAAATAGATCAACTTGGACTTTTAAGGGGATCACCTCATATCAAATGCCACCTAAGTGGTTTTGAAATTAGTTTTTAAAACGTTTGAAAAATTAAATTATTGAAGATTCTAATTTGTAATGGTTTAAAAATTTTCAAGGCTTATCAAATAACACCTAAGTTGCAATAATCACTTCTACCATGAAGAGCATTTTCATGATGTTATGGTATACTTTCATACTTAGTACTTTAACTTGGAATAATAGTAATTACACGCAAGGATATATAACATCTTGATCCAATACCAATTAACATAGCAACACATTTCAATATCTTCAACACTAAGAAAAATTTTCACTAGTTGGTTTAACAATCCAATGATATTGAAATGTGTTGCTATACTAATTGGTATTGGATCAAGATGTTATATATTCTTGTGTGTAATTACTATTATTCCAAGTTAAAGTACTAAGTATGAGGGTATACCATAACGTCGTGAAAATGCTCTTTATGGTAGAAGTGATTATTGCAACTTAGGTGTTATTTGATAAGCCTTGGAAATTTTTAAACCATTGCAAATTAGAATCTTCAATGATTTAATTTTTCCAACTTTCTAAAAACTAATTTCAAAACCACTTAGATGGCATTTGTTATGAGGTGATCCCCTTAAAAGTCCAAGTTAATCTATTCACTGTGATTAGATCACAATGTTTGGTGGTAAATTGGGAATCTTATGTGGCAATAGCCTTAGATCATTGCCTTGAGGGGCAATCCAAAATGTTTTATCATTGAGGGGGATTGATCTCCTAAATCATTTTACACAAAGTTTCCTACGGTCAATTACAAAGCAATGACTTTGATTGGTTGTTTTGGAGAATTAAACTTATCAAAATTGGTTCATGTCTTCTAATCCTATAGAACAATGGATTGTTATGTTATTCATAGTTCATTCAATTGATATTGAAATTGTTTATTTCTTTTCAATCTTATTATAAGAAATAAAGTTATTTGGGTGTTTTGTACTCAATGATATATTTTTTCTCTTTTCCATGTAACATCAAATATTGTGACCTAAGGTCACTAGTAATAGTGATATTACACCAAACATAATAATCTAAGATTAGTAGTGATTAGATCACTATGATGATCTTGAAAGTGGTACCAAATACTTCTTTTATGGAAGATTTTCCATAAAAAAAGGGTTGAAAATGTTGAAGTAGTGAAAACCAACTTAATGTATTCGAAATTTTATGTCCTTTAATTGAATATACCCTAAAGCCAAACATAATAATCCTTTAATTACATTAATGTTATGTTCTTTCCTTTTTAATTTTTATTAATATATAATTCTAATAATGTCATATGTCGCTTTTACAAAAATTGAATAAAAGGTTTGCTCAATATTTAATTTTCAGCATCGTGCTGATCATTTTTTGTTGTATAAATTTAGTACTTACACTTTTTAGAGCTAAAAATTTGGTCCTTAATTTTCAATGTTGAATTTTTCAATTTATCAAACAACACATTAATTTCTAGCAAGATATAAAATAGAAAAGGCCTAGAGTTCCTGATGTCTGATTGTAGAGATGCAGGTGCATTCTATATATTTGTCAACTTATTCTTCAAACTCCTCTTCCAACCTTTATTGGTGTCCATGATGAGGGACAAGAAGTCCCAATCCCTTGATGTTTGGAGTTTTTGAGATTTATTTACTGAATATGATTGTTTTTCCATAATGGTAAGTAAGCAATATTTTAGTAAAATGCAGTAATGCTCCTTAAGCTTTTTGCAATATTTCATTTTGTTTATGACCTTTAAAACTGAATTTTTACGTCTGCAACCTTTTAAAAATGTTCCAAATTCATCCATTTCATCCACCATCATTAAAAAATCAACAAATATTTCATCTTAATACCACGTGAATATCAACTTGGCATAAATCCCCACCCAAAAGATCAAACAGACCTTTTTTTTTCACATGGACATCCAAGTGTCAGGGGCCTACCTAACTTTGCCACATAGACGTCCATTGGTGGAAGATTCTGTCTGATTTTAATGGAGGTTAGTGGAATAGATGAACTTGGAACATCTTTAAAAGGTTGCAGATCAAAATATCAGTTTTAAAGGTCGCGGATGAAAATGAAATACTGTACAAAAATTACGGATATCTGGTGCAATTTAATAAGAATTTTTATATGCTTTTTTGGATAATGCTTTTTTTTCTCATTTCTTCTAGAAACATTTATCATCACTTTATTCCTTTGTTTTGTACCTCTCATTTGCTTTGGAATTGAATTATTATAGTCTATATTTAGTTGATAATTTTTAATTTAAACTTATACTTTTACCCTTCAAAGTTAAGATAAATTCACTTAGACAACTTTGTTGAAAACTATAGCTCTACCTTTCTAGGTACCATTTTCTTCTGTACCTCTGGTCACTAATTTTCAGCAATCTTTTTCAACATTAATTAATATGAAGTCTGAAAATGTTAGGATTATTTTTTCTTTCATTGTAAACCAAGTACTGATTTTTGCTACCTTATTTTATTACATGTTTATGCAAACAGCTATTGATTGCTTTACCATTATTAGTGTAAATTAGATGAGAAGGAAGTTAATGTTTGGCATACAGGCTTGAGCAATTTTTTAAATTAATTGCTGTTATATTTGTCCTATTTTTGCAAATGCAATGAGAAAGTGCATCAATTAAATAATGTAGACAGTTTAAATCTTTGAGATAAAAGTTTAAAATAGCTTTGTTGGTCATAGGCTCAATTGACATTGATGAATGCCTATTTACGAGCTAGACATCTCCAGCTTTAATATTTTATGAAAATTAAATTGGGCTATACAACAGTGTTGAAATTTAAGATATTTGAGTTTACCAGCTAGGCAAATGCATCTTTCATATTTTTATGTAAATTTGATTGGGATATAAAAAAATTTTGAATAATTGGAGAACACTAAGTTGATGTTTGCCATATGGATGTATTTAACGAAAATAAACTGTTCTTTTTTGGGTTCTTGAAGTACTTGAGGTTGCTTCTACTTGACAAAAAGGTATTTGCTGATGAGGTTTGTAGATTGGTGGATCGAACATCTTAAAGTCATCCATATGTAGCATAAAGTTGGTAGTTGATTTCATCTACATGAAGTTTGTAGATACTAAGTTCAAATTTACCACAAACTTGCATCATACTCATTCCACTCCAAGGGATATGTCCATATTTTTCTTGATATAAAAACTTTTATGTTAGAAATATTAAAATTTTTTTATATTGATGTTAAATGCTTTTTAATTCAAAAAAGAAAAAAATTAATGAAGAATTAATAGAAAATATAGAAAACTAAGAGTTTTATGTTTGCAAAAACAGAAAGATGATTTGGTTTTGAAATGCATGAAAATTAGAGATGGTTAATTCATTGTGGAATGGAGCGGTATGAAGTTAGCAGTTTATGAATAACTACAACATACTGAAATTTATTCTCAACTTTTTCTCTCTTCAAACAATAAAAAATGTTCAACTTTCACATAACTTCTTCTCAACTGAACTCTTTCCCTCTCTTTTAGCTTTCAATCTATAAATAATTATTCTCCCAATTTCTCTTCCTTTTTTTAACACTCATATAGGTGGGTGTGTAGGTGGCTAGTCTAAGTTGACTGTCATTAGTTTATGGTAGAAATGATTTTCTTTCTGGTCGGAGAAAGAGTGCGGATACTGATGGTGGGGGAGGTTGTTCCTTGTTTGGGAGAAGGTGAAGATTGTCTGTTTATAGAGATTAGAGAGCTTATTTCACGCTTCATGCCCCTCTTGTCTTATATGACTCACTCGCTATACTAACTATTTTTTATTGAAGGACTTGATTCACGCCCCCCCCCCCCCCCCCCCCCCGCGCACCCCCAAACCCCACAATAATCATATAGTTTTGCTTCTTGAATTTTACGATATTCAATTTACTTAATGAAAAAAGGGCATAGAAGCTGTTATAGACTGTAGAATAGATGCTGTAGATTGTGTTAGTGTAGATAATAATTTATGTGGATTATTTGTTTTACCATGAAACTCCAAGTTCCATAGCATAATCACTGCATTTCTAACCCTAAATGTCATTTTACTTCAGAGAAAATGAAGCCTTCTGACGTAGGTCTGGAACAGGAGGCGCAGGTGGTACGCAATTGGTCTGGTCCTGTACATGTGCGGAATGGAAGCCATCAGTCATTGCCACCAATTAAGTATCTGCACTTACATGAATGTGACAGCTTCTCTGTAAGCACAAACTTTATATTACCTGTCACCTTTGTTGCTAAATATATCACCTGTCATTGAGTGCATATAACTTTTTAGAGTTTTAAAGTGAGTAAATTGCATTTAGCTGGAAATTTGCCTAGAACTTATTACACTTTCCTTGAAATTACATTTAATCTTTCAAAATTGAGATTAACTGACTATTTTTGTTTTTCTCTTTCTTTACAGATAGGAATTTTTTGTATGCCACCTTCCTCTATTATACCTCTGCATAATCATCCAGGAATGACTGTGCTGAGCAGGCTTATATATGGCTCATTACACGTGAAATCATATGATTGGCTTGATTCAACAGAACCTGAAGATCCATTACAAGGTGTGTGTTTAGCATTCCCATATTTGTTTGATGCCTATTGACTAAACCATGATTAAGGATGTTCATAAACTCATAGGTACTTGTGTATATTTGTATGTAATTGGCTCTGTAGTGAGAACCTCCATTATATTCCTTGAAACCTCATTAGTCCCATTTTTAATTCTTTTTCTTTTCAGAATAACTTTATTTCAAGAGTTTTCTCTGGTAATTTATCATAGAAAATTTAATACCTTTTATAAAGTTTTGTTAATCTTCTGATGTTGGAAATGCTATGTAACTCCTGTTCTTTACCATTTGGCCTCATAGGATTACTATTTATGTAAGACTTGAGTGAGAAATGGACCTCTTTTTAAATCTATATTTACTTTATAATATAAAATTTTCTGTATAAGCTGCATTGCACTTAGTTATCCATGTGCTAGTGGTTTGTTGGTTCAAAAGTAACAGAGGAAATATTTTTAGATTGAAGTTTATTTTGATTGACAATTGTGTGGAATAGGAGGAAGAAGTCTAAGGAAATACTGAATGCTGGAGGTCTTCTGGTTACAGCTAATGATTCTTTAAATAAGGAAGATGTAAAGAGCCTTTTTGCTGGCATCCAAGGAAGTGAGAGGCCTGTTGAATTCTTTGATCTTGTGATGATGTAGTTTATTTCCAACTTGTTGAAAATGCTTGTGACATATTTCTTTTTCAACTGCTTTGGTGAAATATTTTGAGGCTTGTTTTTGGGTTGCTAATGTACTTTGTTAGGGAGTGCGCACAGTTTGACTTGAATGGAACTTTCATCTTTTAAAATTTCAGTTTTTCCTTTTTGAAACCAAACCAGACCAGATGAATAGTTATAGAAGCCAACCAAAATTTTTTTCTTTTGGATTTTGTTATGAGTTTTCCATTCAGGTGGATTTCTAATAACAAATTCTATATAGAATTTAACCCCATCCACATATTTTTAGCCCTAATTCAAATTAGAATCATTTGCTGAAACAGAGATACAGAACTGATGCAGTGGGAAATTTAGAATCAAAGAATGTGTTCTTATGGTTATAATTGTTGACTTTAACTCAGTGCAAAGGAAAGCAATTGTAAGAAAGTTGATGAACAAATAGGTCTTGTGGATGAAATAATTATTCAATCTAGGGGTATTATGGTGTAAGCTGACTTTTGAAGGGCTTGCTAAGGTAGTTGCCCCATCTATGCTTTTTTTTAATTTTGGCTTGTCTGCTAGATGGTTGGCTTGCCTGAAGCATGCAAAGCGGAATGGAGGCTAATGAACATGTGAAATCAAATAAATTGGACTTCTTAAATTTGTATTATATCTTTTTTTATTATTATTAATATAAGTGATTTCGGGGGCCTATGGCAGCAAAAATTGTCTATCAGCACCATTTGTAAATATAGATGCTACTTCAATAATAGATGTTATATCATTGTTGATAATTTGTTCACTGATAAAGTGTTGGCATATCTCTTATTTTAAATAATGCATTTTCCCTTCACCCTTCCCAGGGTATAGTGGGCGTATATATATTTCTTCGATCTTTGACTCTGATTTGCTTATTCATGGTGTTTATAGCAAGACCTGCAAAACTTGTTAAGGATACCGAGATGACAGCCCCTTGTGCAACAACAGTACTGTATCCCACAAGTGGAGGTAACATTCATTGTTTCAAGGCACAGACTCCCTGTGCTATTTTTGATATTTTATCTCCACCATACTCTTCGGAGCATGGACGACATTGTACTTACTTCCGGAGGTCTCCAAGAAGGGATTTACCTGGTAAGAAATATAATTTTGAACCTAGCTTCTATAATCTGTTGTCACATGACTTTTGGGAAGACAACTGCATCCACTCTTATTCATTTCCTTGTTTAAATGAAGGTGAGATTGAAGTGAATGGAGTGACGTTCTCTGAAGCGACTTGGTTAGAAGAGTTTCAGCCCCCTGACAACTTTGTGATTAGGAGAGGGCCGTACAAAGGTCCTGTTATTAGAACTTGAAATATTATTGTACCATCCATTCTAATGAAGAAATTGGGTCTTAATAACAACAACATTGGATGGGCTATAGAAGTTAGGTATTTGGCTTGTACATATTACTACACCAATGTAAACCTTTGATTTACTGACCTCACATTTTATTGGTGAGATGGAGACTCAAAGTTGAGAGGAACTTTGCAGCGCTTAATGACAATTCTTTTTTCGATTTTGTTTGCTCGGTTGGTGGTATCTTTTGTGGTCTTGGTGTGGTAATTTGGCCACTTTGTTATGGATCTCTGAAGCCATGCCGTGCCATGCCATGCCATGCCAATGACAATTCTTTTTTCGATTTTGTTTGCTCGGTTGGTGGTATCTTTTGTGGTCTTGGTGTGGTAATTTGGCCACTTTGTTATGGATCTCTGAAGCCATGCCGTGCCATGCCATGCCCAAACTTTGTCAAACATGCGTTGCACTTTCCGAGCCATAAAAAAAGTGTCTGACGAGGATAATAGCTTACTTCAATTTTGATGTTTACTTAAAAATCATATAAAGCCTGCTGGCCATCTTTCCAAACTATAGTTCGTCAGATTCGGACTACTGATCAGATCCGTTGAATCGATGATCTGATATTTAAATTGATTTGATTTTATTATTAGATTAGATTGGTAATTAATCCGTTTTAATCGGTGATTTGATATTTAAATTGGTTTAATTTTATTATTAAATTAAATTGGTAATTAATCTACTTCAAACTGTATTGAATAGGTGAATTGGTTATTTAAATTGCTTTAAATATGTGATTCGATATTTAAATTGGTTTGGTTTTATTACTAAATTAGATTGGTAATTAATCTACTTCTAACTGAATTGAATTGGCGAATTGGTTATTTAAATTGATTTGGTTTTATTATTAGATCAAATGGTGAATGGGTTATTTAAATTGATTTGGTTTTATCATTTGATCAGATTGGCAATTGATTTGCTTCAAATTGTATTGAATTGACGGCTTCATTAATAAACTGATGTACCGAACTTTGTTGATCCGGATGAGTTTTGAATTTTCTAATAAAATGATTCTAAAAATTGTTATTAATTTAGTTTTATAATTAAAATTATGAATTATCGTGTTATTTAACTAAAATAATATATTTTAAAGTAAAATAGAAAATCAAAAAATAAAATTTAAATATAATGGTGCTGTCCTTTCATGCGTTTTATGTATACTAAAAAATCAACTTGAAAAAACGTAACTTCATTTTTATTTTTAGATGATACGGTCACATCAAATTAAAGGATAAAGACTTGATTGGTTAAAATTAAAACTTTATCAATCAATTTAGAGCTTAATTAGTTTTACATCAAATATCATCATTTGGAAGGTACTTATTTTTTATTTTTATTTTTTTAAATTTATATTTCACATGAACTTTTTTCTTTTTTAAGAATTTTATTTTATTTTATTGTATTTTTAAGTTATTTAGGGTATTTATTTTTATTTAGTCTTTTAAATTAATATGGTTGAATTATTTGAAATTTTGACTAGTATTTTTAGAATTTGAGTTAGGAGGTTAAGTGTTTGAATTTCAAATTAATTTTTGTACATTGTAACGGTTTCGAGAACCGTTAGATAAATTTGAAAATAAAAAGAAATTATTAATTTTTTTTAATTAGATGTAGTTGACCATCTATTAAAACTTACTTTTTAATAAAATTTTAAAATTAATTAAAATTTATTAAAAAGATAATTTTTTTGTCTACGAAAACAGTTTAAGCTCGAAAGTCGATTATATATGAAAAAGTATTAATACCTTCACAATGCCCGTAAAAAAGGAATTAATTAATTATGTGTTGCCTTTTAATTTTAACAATAAATCTTGGGATTTAAAAATTAATTTTTTTTATTGTAAAAAATATATTTTTATTTTTAATTATTTACTTGAAAAATAAATAAGAATCTTGTATATTGAAAAATTCTTAAAAATATTTCAATACTCTGACTATATTAAAAGGAACTTTCTACTTAATGAATTCGTAAGAATCACTACTCAAAATTTTAAAAAATAATATTCTCGACGATTCATATTTATCTTTAATATTTATATTTATCAAGCATATTATAAAATATGATATATATAATTTAAAATCAAATAATGTTTTCTAAAAATTTATTTTTTATATTTAAACGAAAAATTTTTATAAAAAATTATTCTAAATGCTCTAATATATTTGCGGCATTTTAGAAAAATTTTCTTACTTAAAGATTCTTCAAGAATTACTATTCGAACTTCTTTAGAATCTCATCCTTGGAGATTTTATTTATTTTTAAAATATGATTGACATGGATCAACTCATGATGCTATTGCATGAAAGTTCATTTTTTTAAATGAAAAGCAAATGAGAGTTTTTCGTATTGAAAATCATTATAAATATTTCAATACATTTACAATATTTTTCGAAAAAAATTTTCACCTAAAGAATTCTCGAGAATTATTACTCAAACTTTTCAAAGTCCCATAATTGGAAACTCGTGATACTTTCAATATTATGTAATGCAAATGATAAAGTGCAATATGCATACAAAAGCTTTTTTTCTTCATATATTTTATTTTATTATATATTTTTTATTACATATATTTTTACAAAAGAAAAAACATATTACTTATTTTCCTTATGTTATCTTTGCCTTTACTCGTTTTGATTTAATCTTAATTACCTTATTATTTCATAATCATTATAATTAAAAAATTTTAAGGGAACAAAGCAAAGAAAATCTCTTTCTTGAAAATTTTTCTAAACACCCTGATATTTTGATGGTATTTTTAGAAGAACTTTCTCACTTATGGATTTCTTAGGAATCTTTACTTAGACTTCCTTAGAATTTCATTATCGAAAATTTCGTTTACCTTTTTTCCTTTCTCGTTTTTATTTAATTCTTAATTCTAATTCTAATTCTAATTCTAATTTTTAATTATTATTAAATTTTTTTGAAAAAGTGAAAATTGTTAATCATAATAATCATGCATCATTATATTCAATCATTACTAAAAAGTGTCATTTTTCCTATTCATTATGTCTCTTTTATATATATATATATATATATCACCATTTAATTGTAAATATAATTTTAGGTAATTAAGTGAACAATATATATATATATATATTATATTGAATATTTTCCTAAATACTTATTACTTTGGTAATATTCTTTTAAAACAATATTTTCACCTAAAGTTTTAAAAAATCGTTACTCAAACTTTCTTAAAATCTTATTCTTTGAGATTTTTATTTTTATTTTTATTTTGTTTTATATAAATATAAAATTTAAGGAAAATAAATTATTCTAAAAGTAAATTGAAATATGAAATTTTAAATTGTATGAAAATTAAGCTGAGCATAAAAAAAAATCTCACCTACAAAGAAATAACAAAAATACAGGGAATTTAAATTGTAATTAAACTAAAACAATATGAAAGAAATGTGCCTAGACTTGAATGATATAAATTATGCAATTAGATAAACCTTATAAAGGACAATCAAATTTTCAGCATGTCTTGAAGTTTTTGTTTATTATTAAAATAAAATAAAAAAACTCCAGATAAAAACCTAGAACTCTCCACCACTCAATTTGAAACCATTTTCATGCTACCCTTACAACTTTTTTATTTTTGTTTAAAGTCATAAAATATGAGAAAAAGGAGTTCTGACATATCCTAATACTTACATTTTAAAGGTTTTATTTTTTTTATTCCTACGCTATTTGGTTTTTTAGTTCCTTCCTATTAGAACTCGAAAGCACAATGGATAAGAAACATGGCTTGTGCATATAATGAAAAAGCATATACCTAAACTATCAATAACCGCAAGCATAAGTAAAAAAAAAAAACAAAAAAAAAACTACAATTCAAAGCCTTTCTAGATCAAGCCCAGTAACCATGCAATGTTTGAAACCTTTAGCTTTTATGAACAAATGTAACAACCACATCTTATGCTGCAAGTACTACAACTCATGAATATAACAAACCATATGCAAAAACAAAGAAACACAAACATGAAAGGATGAAGTTTTAAATCCCAACCCCTGACCATACAAAAGACAGAACCATAAAACATGAAAAAAAAAAAAAAAGCTTTGGGTTCTATCAATAAGTCATGCAAAAAATTAAGTAACAGACACGAGGATGAAGAAGCCATAAGTTTCTACATACCAATCACACACAAAAACAAATTTCAAATTGTCAACAGCAAGTCCATGAAAAAAAATCAAACAAGCAACACATATGAAGCTTTAGTTTTTTTTTTTTTTGCAAAATAACGATGAACAGTAACATATTCACAAAAAAAATACAAGTTTCTAGCCTTAATGTACAAATCATTAGTTTTGGCAATCACTTTGAAAACCCTGCTTGGTTTCTAAAGAAAAGGTGTATCGAAAGAGAAGTAGAAACTAAGGCAAGCTTTAACTTTGAAGACCTTTTTTTTTGTTTCATTTACTATAGTAGTTTTATGCCTTGAACTTTATGTGGAATGTGACAGTGATATTACGCAGGTAGGTTAGCCAAAAAAAATTACCTTTTTCCAAATTCAAAGCTATCTTTTTTTTTTTTTTTACAAAGCTTTCACATTCTTTTCTATCTTATTGTCCATATTTTTTAGCTCTCTTTCACAGTTCTTGGCTCCTCAAACCCTTTATTTTTTGTTGCCTGAAAATTATTTTTTTTATTTTTTTTGTTTATGTTTTCACAAAATTATCTTCCTTTTTTTTCGTAAAGCTTCTCTTTTCTTCTTCTTCTTATTTTGTTTTCCTCACTTCTTTAAAAAAATTCTCTCTTTTTTTTTTTATGATGGCTTTCTTATCTGTGTTCTTTTTTTTTTTCAACCGCATTTCTCTTTTTTAACTCCATAAAATACCCACTTGTCAAAACCCTTTTGATTCCTTTTATGCCATTTAGAATCCCTTTTTACTTGCCCTCCAAGCTACATTTTCTTTTGTTTCCTTTCTTTTCCCTTCTCTTGCTTATTATTGGCACTAGCAATGTTTTTTTTATAGGTTTTTCTTGTAGTTTTAGCTAGTTTTTAGCTAGCTGTCTCTTTAATACCAACACATAAGCTTTTACATGAATAGAAGGAATATAACTCTTTCTTTTATGCTAAGTCCTCTTAGCCCTTTGCATGCTTTCATTGACATGAAAAGAATAAGATCTTTTTTTTTTTTTTGGTTTTAGTT